TTGGCTTCCACACTGATTTTGCTTGAAAGAAGGTAGCAGATCATAACCATTATAAGTGTGAATTGGTAGCCAAGTGCTAAATCATGATCCCATATTTATGGGAATGCTAGGACAACAGGACCATCAAGGATCATTCGTATCTACCATTTGTAATTTCAAACAGTTACTTAATGAGGAACAAAACACTGGTAGCCTCCCCCCGTCGAGTGCGATCCCACAGAGTTGGCTTCTTCAGGGTGCCGTCGGCCAGACAGTGTTGGCTAGCAACCGCCAGGGGGAGAGTCCTCTCTGTGGGAGCGCCTTCCCTCTGGAATGAGCTGCCCCCGGAGCTTTGTATAATCCCCGACCTTTGATCCTTCCGACGCCCCTAAAAAGTTGGCTTTTCCAGCAAGCCGGCCTGGCCTGAACAAAATAAAATAAATGATTGATTATTGTTAATTTTAATCTAATTTTTTAAATGTTATTGTTAATCTTAATTGGGTTTTTGGATACTCTATCCAATTTTTTAAAAACTTTTGTAATGTGTTTTTTTTAATGTTGTACACCGTCCTGAGTCCTTTGGGAGAAGGGCGTCATATAAATCCAACAAACAAACAAACAAACATACATCTAACAGGAGCAGGATGTGGGTAGTACATCCATCCTGGCTGTTCTTGACCTTTCAGTGGCATTTGATACCATTGACTAAGATACCCTTTTGGTTGACTCCAGGAGCTGGGGGTTGGTGGCACAATTTTTACACTGGTTCACACCTCTCCTGTACCAGCTCCACTCAGTGATAGGGCGCAAGAGGTCCAACCCACAAACCCTGCTTTGAGGGATACTATAAGATTTGGTACTATCTCCACTCTTTTTTAACATCTACAAGAAGGCTCTAAGTTAGATCATCTGTTGCAATAGGATGAGGTATGCAGATGATCCCCAGATGTAGAGCTCCATTTCAAGTGAAGTAAGCAATGCTATGGGCGTCCTTTCTTGGTGTTTGGAGGCTGTGGGGTCCTGGATGGGGGACAACAGGTTTCAACTTAATCCTGGTAAGACAAAGCAGCTATAAGTAGGTTGATTGTCTGTATTTTGGGGTTTACCATCTTTGGTCGTTGATGGGGTAACATTGACCCATAATCTGGGAGAATCCTCCTAAATCCACAACTTCTGCTTGAGGAGCAGGTGGCAATTGTGGCTAGGAGAGCTTTTGCTCAACTTTGGCTTGTGCACTAGTTACTCCCCTTTCTGGATCGACAAGCTGTTCTTTCAGTCATCCATGTGCATTTTTCAGATGGACCATTCAATGAGCTCTATATTGAAGAGTATCTGGAAAGTGCAACTGGTGCAGAATACACTGGCACAAGCAGTTTTGGGCATCCCTAGAGTGGCACATGTAACACCTCTGCTATGCACACTGTCTTGGGTATTAGTTTTCTACTGGATCCAATTCACGGAGTTAGTTATTACTTTCTAGTCAAAGTAATAGTTTTGTCTACTGATAAGAAAGAAAAAAATTCCAAGCAAGCCTCCATTTTGCTGCTCCTAATTTCTGCATGTTATGGTCAGGTTGCCTGGAGGATTTGTTGATGATTCTTCATTCTTAGCTTCAATTGTAATTTTCCCATTATATCAAAGAATAACCCACCTTCCCCCTTAAAAGTGGGGGAGGGCAGGACCTTAGAATGTTTTTATTCATGGGTTCTCTGCCTTAAATTGACAAATCTAATATATACTCCATCCCTTTTGTTCAGCCTGATGCATGTTGTTTTGCTTGTCATTTTCTGACGTATGTTTTAGGCTTCTGACAATACCATTGGATTGAACAGATTCTTCTGATGGAATTTCTTGAACTTCATGCTTCCCTTCAATGTTAGTTTATTCTGCTTTCTACCTTGCCTTTCAGCTTTTCTGAAACAGTTAGACTTCTTCACTGTTAGAATCTGCTGACCATTCTCTCAAAGTAAAAAAAGAGGAATTGTATTTATATTTTCAAAGGGCAAGCCTCACCCTTCCTGGCATCTACTTCGGGTTTGCTTCTTGCCCTTTATCTACTAGTGTTGTCTCTTTTGCTGTAAACATGTAAGAGATAATTTGTTTGAATTGGGCCAAACCAGGAATTTGCTGCATTCACCATTTAATTACTTTTCAGTTTAATTGATTTAATACCTAAGCCCAGGTAGGTGTGGTAGTATCATAGTTAAATAATATTCAGCCTTTCAGAAAAATGTATGTAAATAGTACATCCTCCTTTACTGCTTCTATTACATCTTGTTTTCCAAAACTCAGAATAGCCAAGACAGCACTAGTAATGAAAATTTGAAATGTACAAAAATGCACTAAATAAGCAACAAAATTAAATGCATTTCTGTGTTGGCTATGTTACATTGTGTGTATTTTATTTCTAATCTTAGAGAATGCAGAAGCGAGCAGAAAGGTTCAATGTTCCTGTGAGCTTGGAAAGTAAGAAAGCTGCACGAGCAGCTCGGTAAGTGTATATTTGATTATTATTGTTTCCTACAGCTGTTTAGTCATACAAATAGAAGTGTATTCTGGGTGCATCCTCTAACTATTACCCTCTTAATTGGGGTAACTTCAACTAAGAACTTCTGGAATTTGAATTGTGGATACCTATTATATCGAAACGTCTCATAAATAACATTTTCCTTTCCAATGAACAACTTTTGAAATTATTGGTTCTGATCCTTTTATTGGGAGTAGGGAGTTTGAGCCTATAGTGTCTGGTTATTCTGGGCTCTTAATTCCAGTTACTGATTACTTGCTATGTGATCTGGGAATGATGTGAATTTGAGCCAGACTTTCACATCTAATTAAGAAATGGGTTTATTAATTAAGTAAAAATGAAACACAAGATGAGGTGTCCAGAAGAGTATTATGTAAGATGTAGATGAGACAGAGTAGGTATTTCTCTCATTGTTATTCAGTGCAGGAAGCTTTTCTTTAAAAAAAAAAGCAAAAGCCAAATTACTTTAAAATGTAGGAACAATACGCTGCACTGAAGTGCAGCTTTAATTTCTAACAAATGTTAAAGTATTACTAAATTACTAAAATTCTTTTTTGTGGATTATATAATATTCTATACTTTGATTTGTGCTGTTATCAGTGCCAAAGATGAAAGATTGCAAAAAATTAAAATCAAAACAAATATTTAGTATTGAAAATTTACCTTATTCTGTCTCCACCTGACAGGATAGCATGCATTATATATCTTAAATGTCCTGGATTTTGAGATATACAAAGAATTTTAAGGATTCTATCAGTAAAATGAATGAAAAAGCAAGATATAGTTTTCTAAGTATATTGTAGGCCCGTGATGGCGAACCTATGGCACATGTAACACACGGAGCCATTTCTGAGGGCATGCGAGGCATTGCCCTGTCAGCTCGCGGAGACAAAAAACCGCCCAATGTGCAAACCGTAAGTTCGGGAACGGACTTCTGGTTTGCGTGTTGGGCTATTTTTTGCCCTCTGGAGGCTTCAGGGAATCTCCAGAGGGAGAAGAACGCCCAAAAATCAGCTGGCAACCTAGAAGTCGGTTCCCAAAGGAAGCCATGCGCACATGCGCAGGGCAGTGGAGGGGGCTGTCACGTGCACAGGGGTCATGGCGCAGGCATTTAATTATGGGGGTGGACATGCAAGCAGGCGCAATACCGTGCACGCACATACTTTTGGCACCTGAGGCGAAAACGTTTCGCCATCATTGTTGTAGGCTATTCATTCAGTTGGTAGAGATATTTTAAATAGTAAAGATGGAACCTGTATTCACTTTTTCTTACTCTTCTGATCAAGACCAGTTTTATATGCCAGGAAGGGCTTTGCTCTATTTTCAAATTACCATATTTTTAGAGTATAAGATGCACCAAGATTTTGAAGGGGTAAAATTTTTTTTAAAGTTTTTGCACTCTGCAGGCCTCCCAAACCCTCTGCAGGCCTCCCAAACCCTCTG